CCACACATCCAAGTGTCTCTGGGGTGAAACACCACTATTTGGTTTAGCAGCAAGGCCCAGACAAACCCTGTCTGCAATATTGGGATTATTACAATACAACCCACAAGCATTTCTAAGCTGGCCTGGCCCACCCTGGTTAAACCAAACTGAGGGCTCAGCTGGTTCAGCCCCACAGCCCTGCTGGAGGGTACCACAGTTTATTTCAGCACTTGGAGCAGTGTTACCCCAGTGGATTCCCACACAAAGCCAGCTCCAGGCTGTGGTGGCAAACACAGCCTCCAGGCATGCCCTGAGCAAGGGATCCAAGCCCTGAGCTGTTCCTGTTCCCTCACCCACATTTGGGAGTTTGTGGTATTTTTAGGGACGCCTGTCAAAGGGAGGAATGATCTGATTCCATGTTCTTAGCAGGCTAGTTTATTATTTTATTATCTATATTATATTAAAGAAATGCTATACTTAACTATCCTAAAGGATAGAGAAAGGATACAGACAGAAGGCTAAAATATAATGAGAAACTTGTGACTCTTTCCAGACCCTCAACACAGCTGGACCATGATTGGTCATTAAGTAAAAACAATTCACATGAAACCAGTGAAACAATCACCTGTTGGTAAAAAATGTTCAAAACACATTCCAAAGCAGCAAAACACAGAAGTAAATCAGATAGTTATTGTTTTCATTTTTCTCTGAGGCTTCTCAGCTTCCCCAGAGAAAATCCTGGGCAAAGAGATTTTTCAGAAAATGTGACAGTGACAGGAATTGCTGCTCAGGAATTTACAGCCTCAGACTATGGGACTTGATCCAAGCAATAGCTCCAGCACTGGGCAACCTCAGGTCTCCCCAGAGCTCTGGGTCACATTCAGGCACTTCCTGATCCCAGCCTGCTTTTCCAGACCCCAAAAATCCCTATTTCCTCAGAGGATGGCTCCCAAGATCCATGTAGAGGGAGAAGTTCTGTGCACAGCTCCCAGGTAAAGCAGACAAAATACAAACTGAAAACTTCAGAGCGCTCACTACAAACTACATCCTCTGGGTCCAATTCCTTGTTTATTCCAAGGGGTTATTCCAGTGTTCTCGGGGATGCCAGAACAGAGGGAGAATCCCTGGAGCAGCCTGGGTGTCCAAGCTCAGGGGATGCCCCATGGAAAGCCCCAGGGCTGCCCAATCTCACTCTGCACCTTCAGTTCTGCCCTCCCATCCCATTCCAGCATGCACAGAGCCATCCCCCTTCCCAGGCACCCTCAGGAACCCTTCCCCAGGAGAGATCAGAGGGAAAGGTGCCCCTGGAAAGCCCCACACCCCATAATGCCAGCTGCAGGTACTGACAACCAAGAGAGCCCAGTTCATGTGAAAAAATAGGGTGATTTTATTACAAGCTTCAGAAAAAAGGACACAAACAACATGAACACAGCATTTAACTGGACACTTTCCTCAGGGACACAGCTGTCCCAGGGAATCAGGCACTCTGCAGCCCCAGAAGGTCCAGGTGCACAAGTCAGGCTTCCTGGTTTTCCTGGAAAAAAAAAAATATTTTCCCCATACCACTGCCTGTCCTCACTGGGGACAAAGCAACCCCCACCCTCCTCTTGCCAGGGCAGCAGCAGCTTCCTGCAAATGAGGAGAGCATCCAGCAGTACTTGGGGCCAGAGCAGGGAGGGGGAAGCTGCTTGTGAAGAATTCCCACAAATCCCCCCATTTTCTGCTGCAAAATACCCAGGGCAGGGAGTCACAAAAGGCTTGTGGCAATTTGGGTGAGAGGTGCCAGGAGTTGGCATCTGGCACTGCTGTCACACACTGGTGACTGG